CATTCTGATCCACGCAAAACAAAAATAATTGTTATCACCAATTAAAATACGCTCTCCCAAATTTAATCGGTGACAATTGGATGCACAACAGAATTGGAGTTTTAAAGGTGATCCTTTCACCCCTATATTTGTTATCGAAGTCGGAAACATTTCAACTCATTCAAAGTTTGAGGAACTTGATAGAAAATTCAAGGATGTATACTTTGCGGAGGGGACCTCTGTACAATTGGGATGGTTAATAGATCCAGAAAATAAAGAGATACACGTATATAGAAGGGGTCAACGCCGTATTAATCATGGATGGAAAGATGTTAATAATGAGGATTTTTTACCAAGGTTTACTTTAGAAATATGGAAAATTGAACATGTAATTTCACAGGTGCGTTTTTATTATTTTTTACTTTTTGACATATACAATCAATTTTATCATTTGTGTATTTCTTGGTTTAATTACAGCAAGAATCGGTATCACCGGAGCCCACAGGAGATGATAATACACCACGCAATTGCCCTTTCTGTTCAGAAACCTTGACTAGTGTATACGTTATGATTGATCATATTGAGAATAATCATGCATACAAACGAAGATGTTGATTAGCATTTGGGTTAGACTTATTACTTCCAGGAGAAATGTACATTTATAGATGCTTTTTTCAGTGTAATAAATTCAATAAATAAAGTATCTATTTATTTTTCGCTTGCGGAAGCCATTTTGCAGGTTATATTGGTTTGTAAAACGTGAATATTTCCTCCATCTTCATTCCAGTATATTTGTACTATTTGTAATTATACAAAAATATATATATCGATAATTTTTACGATCGTAATGGTTTAGTAATTGTAAATGCAAATGAGTGAGATTTCGTGATCAGGCTTTTTTCCCTGAGCCAGGTACCCACTATTATAATTATGAAATGTCATAATTCCGATTGAGACATTTTGTTGCGGTATTCATATAAACAAACTTTTGAACATATCTGCATCTTATATAAAATAATGGGAAACACCAAATCCGAACTAGATTTATTGAAACAGGAGAATGCCAGACTTATGGCTAGAATCGTAGAATTGGAACAGATTGCAAAAGAAAAAGGCGAACTTGAGGTTAGAATTGCGGAATTGGAACAGACCACAAAGTTAAGTCAGACAGAAAATGCCGAGCTCAAGGCAGAAATTGCAAATTTAAAATGATCTGTTAAGAATGTTGAGAAGCAAAATCGAACTGTTACTAATGATTTAAAGTCTCTGGAATATTCCATTTCATTGCCCAGCAAGAATTGTTCAAGTGGTGGAAATGCACAGATTACCGTTTTTTCAGCTAACCAGGAAGCAACTTCAGGACAGATAGACGATACAATTTCCGATACATCTAACCTTAATGAAACATGCTCTGGCAAATCTAAATCATTAGAAGATAAAGAAATTGATGACTTTTTAGATTCGGAAA